ATTTCCATTTTGTTAGTCCGATGGCGAAGCAGCTGAAAATGATGCTTTTTTTGCACCAATCCCTGATAGAAAACTTTGGCACATTTTGTCTCCATGACTCAGGCAGAACAATTCATGACTTTGCTTGGGCGTAAAGGTCTACCAACAGATTGGTTGGTGGCCTCATTTTTAGTGCTTTAATTTCCAGACCCATTTTCTAACTTTCTCTCTTGCTCTCTCTCTCCCTCTCTTTCTGATAACTCGCTGTGTATTCCAAATTGACTATACTTTCATGTTTAGCGACCTCTTAAAGGCATGAAATCATCCTCTTCTCTTCAAACTCATTAAGAATTTAAATCAACAGACTTACGTTATTTAGTGATTAGCTTATTTGCCCGCTTGTTAGCTGATTCCACTCGTACTTCGTTCGATTGTGTCTGCAACTCATAACCATATGACTGTGTTGACTATGGGCTGAGCGAAATAGCAAAGGTAAAACTATCGCATGCGTCACATAGGTTGACCTATTACTGATAGCCTGTGAACCTCACTAAAAAATTTGAAACAACAGGGGCATGCCTCGGCCCAGCAGTTCAGGGGAAGGCAGCTCAGTATAAGTATACTCGATGTCCACAGCAAGTGTCTGAGTAATTTGAAGATTACTTTCGAACACAGAGAGGGGCAGTACAGCTAAAAACAATAAAAGAGCAGTTGTGACCTTTTCGTGTATGCGATCCAGCTGTCTGTTCTGATTGCTAACTTCAGTGCTCATGTCAATAGCCATGTTACGTAAATTGCCGACCATTGTTGATACCTGCTGAACGTTCTCGTCCATCTCATCTTCTCGCGCATCATTGGTTATTCTGCAAATCATAAACTGTACGAGTGAGTAAAACAAAAGTCAGCTTACGTGAACTTGAAATGATGCCTGATTAGCCAAAGACCTTGATATGAAAAGGAAGGACAACCGCAATAGCAATTGACGTTGAAAGTTCAGTTTTTTTTTCGGGTTCAAAATTATTATCAATCGAGGTACGAACCGTGTGATGTATCCGCCTTGAGGGCCCATTCCAGAGTCGCCCACTGTTATGCGAGGTTGATCACTTATCACTCCCCCGTCATCATCCTTTTTCCATGCTTTCGCATATTCTGAATTTTTTTCAAAATCTTCTGTCCTGTAAAAAGTCTACCTTCAAAAAAAAAAAACGCACAAAAGTGGACAAAAATTTGCATTTCCGACCATTTTTCCTTTACATTAGTGCATTCAGCAGTAAAGATAATGAATTACTTAAAACACGGCAGAGTACACAAGCCGCAGCATTTTTCCATGCCTTTGAGATGCTCCTCCGCTTCTCGCATATCCTGATTTATTGTATCCAAACCACCTTCCACGCGCTCCAGCTGTTCTGAAAAACATTTCTAATCGTTGAATGGAATTTTTAAATTATTTTCACAGTGAATCCTTTTTCTATCAAATTCCAACAAAATCATCGG